AGCTCCCTGCTGCTCTTGACTTTTACCCTGTGAGGGGCCCTGAGGGCACAGAGCCTGCCAGTCAGACTGGGGTCCCAGGAGTCATGCAGGGCAGAGGCTGATGGGAGGTTCTGCCCACAAATGGTAATTCTCAAGGATTTCACCAGCCACCTATTGTCCTTTTCTGCAGTTCCCTTCTTAGTGAAGGGACAATCTGGGTGACAACATAATTAAGGAGCAGAGACAGGGGAGGTCCTCTCAGGGAAACACTGTCCTGTGGTTTCAGCTCACGTTAGACGAAAGTGGATGGAGCCTGTCCTTAGGCATAGGTTCCCGTGTTTATAAACCCTCAGGCAACAGGAGCATGGGAGAATTGTGTCTGACAGGAAGGCTGGGTTTGTTGGAGCCCTCAACTCTGTTTACACGGGGATGAGCTCTAGCAGGTGGGCTCTCGGCCAAGACAGCGTGCTGAGCTTCCTGGAACCAGGCACTCTCCCATAGATGGGGTGTGAGCTCCACACAAGGCTGCTTCGCTCATGGACGATCCTTGCCAGTAGTGGTGACAACTCAGTTGAGTCTCACATGCACCTGGCTCATCGCCCCCGGGAGGGTGGGCCCTTGGTATGAACGGCAGAAGGAAAGCTGGGCAAATGGCAGTTAATCTAAGGATCTAAGCTTAAAAAATGCACTGGCAGGACCACCTTCAGAGCTGGCCGCTGGCGGTATCATGGCGACCCGGAACCCCCCTCCCCAAGAGTATGAAAGTGATGATGAGTCTTATGAAGTGTTGGATTTAACTGAGTATGCAAGAAGACACCATTGGTGGAATCGAGTGTTTGACCACAGTTCCAGACCTAAGGTTGAAAAATACTCGGTAGCCACCCAGATTGTAATGGGGGGAGTGACTGGCTGGTGTGCGGGATTTTTGTTCCAGAAAGTTGGAAAGCTTGCAGCAACTGCAGTAGGTGGTGGCTTTCTTCTTCTTCAGATTGCCAGGCACAGTGGCTATGTGCAGATTGACTGGAAGAGAGTTGAAAAAGATGTAAACAAAGCCAAAAGACAGAGTAAGAAATGAGCAAATAAGACAGCACCTGAAATCAACAATATAATTGAAGAAGCAACAGAATTTATCAAACAGAACATTGTGATATCCAGTGGATTTATGGGAGGCTTTTTGCTAGGCCTTGCATCTTAAGGATATGAATGTTCTATCACAGTGGAGTCACCTATAAGAAGAGAAATGGTGGCAACAAGGTTTCTCGACAATACTCACCGCCAGATTCTCCAGGGCAGCAAGAAACAACTAGGTGGACAGTACCAAACTCACAGCTTAGTGTTTTGCCATTGAAGTTTGGCAAACTAGTATTTGCTATAAAAACAACCTATATGGTATGTGTACAATAGTATTCCTGAGCAAAACATGCCTCCATTTATTTTTTTAAAATATGCATTTGTTTTGAAATTAGCCTATAAAATACCACCATTGGATATAGATATATAGAGAAAAAAATGTGTTGGATATACTCCCCAGTGAAATATTATCCTTGTCTTATTTAAATAAGATGTTCTTCATTTTGCTTTATAGTATAGTGTTGGTAATTAAAAATTTGTATTATAGCTTCAAAAAAAATGCACTGGCAATTTGGAAGCTTAAGGAACCATAGTACTGATACTTCCAAGTTTTGAAATAGACAAGCTAAGAGCATTGATTTAGATTTTTCTCCCAATGTGCTTATCTATGTTATAAGTAAAATTAAGAATCCAATACTTTGTCCAAGTCAATGAAAATTGTAGGACTCTGTTTGCCTATTCATTCATTCATCCGTTCACTCTTCCATCCATTCATCCACTCTTCCACCCATCCACCCACCCATCCATCCACCCACCCATCCATCCATCCACTCTTCCACCCACCCATCCATCCAGTCTTCCATCCATCCACCCACCCAACCATCCAGCCACCCACCCATCCATCCATCCATCCATCCATCCACCCATCCACCCACTCTTCCATCCATCCACCCACCCATCCATCCATCCATCCATCCATCCATCCACCCATCCACCCACTCTTCCATCCATCCACCCAACCAACCATCCATCCACCCATCCATCCATCCATCCATCCATCCACCCATCCACCCACTCTTCCATCCATCCACCCACCCAACCATCCATCCACCCACCCAACCATCCAGCCACCCACCCACCCATCCATCCATCCATCCATCCATCCATCCATCCATCCATCCACCCATCCACCCACTCTTCCATCCATCCACCCAACCAACCATCCATCCACCCACCCATCCATCCATCCATCCACCCATCCACCCACTCTTCCATCCACCCACCTCCATCCATCCACTCTTCCATCCACCCACCCATCCATCCATCCACTCTTCCATCCACCCACCCATCCATCCATCCACTCTTCCATCCACCCACCCATCCATCCATCCACCCATTCACTCATTCTTCCATTCATTTATCATTCATTCACCTGTTTGGCAATGGCTCCTGAGGGCATTCAGGGGAACAGTCAGCACCAGGCCAGGTACTGGGCAGATAGATGTTGTCCTTCCCCTCTGGGAGCTTCTGCTCGTAGTTTAGCAGCCTGCAGTTTAGCTCACTCCCTTCTATCTTTAGCTGTTTAAGTAAAGCAGAAGCAAACCCCTGAGAAAAATGATTGCCAGGTGACAAATGGTCCCATTTCCAACCCCAGTGGTCCTGGCTATTCCCTACTCCTGACCCCACCCCAGTCGTCATGCAGCCCCATGCCAGGCCTTGCTCCCTATGTGGTCAAAAAGAAAGAGGGTAAGTTTGTAGGTCACTGATCCCTGGTTTTGAATCTGGTTGTCTGATCCCCATGGGTTAATGCTCATGAGAGTCAACCCAGCTCCTAAAACTCAGGCCACGTTTATGTGTGGCCAATTTGTGGTGCGGGTGGGGGCCAGCTCCTGTGTTTGGTGCCCTTCACTCATGGAGATTTCCATAGGTCCTCCCCTCTGGTCAGAACTTTGAAGAACAGTTGGAAATGTCTCTTTCTCTTGGGAGAAAGCATAGCGGTTTTAGGTGTATTTATCTCAGCTTTGTAGTTATTCAGGGTTAATCATCTCTGCCCTAGATTAGCAGCCAAATTAGCATCCTCCCCACCCCAAATAAATCTAGCACACAAATTAGGATAAATTGTCACCAGGTTATGGCCCTGTGGTTTCAGAACCCACATTCCCGTAGGTGTGGCTAACTGAAGGGAGATGCACGTGGTTTTTCTATCAGTGATGCTTTTCCACAACAATAGAACTCATTATTAAAACATATGACAAATAACTAGTAACAGTCATGGTTTTGAAAAATATAATAGAGCTTTCTGGAAAGCTGTGATAAAATGCCACCACTTACAACAACTGGGTACTCTGCCCACCGTTCCTCATTGTTTCCAGTCTGATTCTTGGTTTTCTGAGTGGACACATCATGCATCCATCCTAAATCTTTCCTTCAGAGTCAGAGCCGTTCCCTTTGTGACGAAGTCTGGGGCCTCTGTTGTCCCTCTAAACCCAGAAGATACCACTGCCTGCCTGCCCTCGGCTCCGGGGGCTTTGTCAGGGCGCCCCTCCTCGCTGGCCTTCCCTGTCTAGGAGTTACCCGTCCGTGACTAAAAGCAACACAAAGAAGTGAGGGTCTCCAAATGCTGGTGTGGAGGGGTGCCCCCGCCCTGGCCAGCCCTGGCCTCTGTCACATCTGCCTGAATAGCACCTTCACAACCGTCCCACGAGCTGAAATAACAAACTTGCTCTGACCAGTACTTTTCTTTTAAAGGAGTTAGGAGTCTTTTCCACATCTTTACCAGAACATTACTTTCTGAAAACACATCTGAGGGCGTCTTTGCAAAGTGTCCCTGGCACCTCTGCCCATGCTGTGGTAACTGGCGGGGGGGGGGGCGGCCAGCCTGTGGGCACCCCTGGGATCCCCTCTGCCTGTCACTGCAAAGGCAAAGCCAACCCTTGTCAGTGTGGTTTCGGGTGACCGTGTGCTGTTCGGAGCTCCTCCTGGCTTCCTGACCTCGGTCACACACCACAGTGTGTTGTGCATGTCCATCTCCCCATCTGATAACGGGCTCATTTAACCGACCTTGCCGTGGTGGCGCGGGTCGGATGGAACAACATGCACTCACAGATTCATCCCCACATGCAGCCGACACCGAGCAGCTGGTGGGAGCCCCTCCTGGATCGCTTGGTTCCATCAGGGGCCACATCTATGGCCAAGCCACTCCATGATGGACCCTAAGTGGGAGATGACAGTGGACGGGTGGGGGCTGCTTTAACCAGCCCATGGCCTGGCATCTGTGGCTAGGGCCACGGACGCTGGGGACAGTCCCAGCTGCTCCCTGCTGCTGGCCAACACTAGTGGTCCTAGTATTGGATGGCCAACATGGACAGCGCAGACCTCTTAATTTGCGTTCATGGACAGAAGGACCCCAGCTTACACCCTCCATACCTCATCCAGCACCAATTTCTTTTACCAATACAGTGGGTGCAAATCAGTGCTCATGTGCTCACGGTCCCACCGAGGTCTGCACAGCTCTGGGAGGAGCCTGATGTCCGAGGGTCTAGAGGGTTAAGCCCATGGCTGTCCTCATCCCATGAGATGCTTTACATGGACCACCTGGGTCCCTTAAATGACATCACTGTTGCTGCTTCCAGAAGGTTTAATCACATCGGCAGTTTTGCAGACATCACTCTGCAGAGCCCACGTCAGCAGCCTGGGTTCTGCCCTCCCACTTCCTCTCCTCCTGCCATGGTCCTCATGGCAGAAGGTGGCTTTCTGGGTGGTTCTCCCCGGCTGTTACTGGGCCACCTGTGGGGAACCCCCCGCCTTCCTCAGGCACCTGTCTCCCCGGGCATCTGTTTCTGCCCGCTGGGGAGGAGGGCGAGCTCCCACTGCCCAGCTGTGCGGGGGCTATTTGGGGAGGCTCGTACCGTGTCAGTAAACTCTTGCCCCTTCTTCTTCTTTTTCCGCAGGACTATTTTTATCCAAGATACTTAGGTAAGTGTACATCCCTGCTTCCGAAGTTGTCATAAGAGAACAGAGGGGTATATGTGTCACGTGTCAGAGACAGCTGGGCCAGCTCATGACCCAGTTACTCCCGGAGGGGAGGCTGTAATCCCACAGTGGGTTTGGGACTACGCAGCGCATGCCAGTCAAAACACCGGTTTGTGTCTTTCACGCCACAGGATCCGTGTTAACTTCGATCCAGTGCCATTATTTGCAAACAGCTTCTCGGCTCTGACTCCAGGCTTAACTTATTGTTTGGGAATGTGATTGATTTAGTGGGTCTCAGACATTTTGGTCTCAGGGTCTCTGCACTTCCAAAATTACTGAAGACCCCAAAGAACTTTTGTTCATGGGGGCTACATATGTTGATATTTGCCATATTATTAATCAGAACTGAGAACAGTAAAAACTGTTTTTGTTTAATTTGAACAAGAGGGAATGTATGAGGAGACACCACTGGCCACCGAGCAGGGATGTCACTGTGCAGGTGGCCTCTGGAGAGCTCCCCTGTGCCCTTGGGGGAGAAAGTAAAAGGACAAATGACAGCCCAGTCTAACCTGGACAATGAGAAAGAGTCCCTGATTTCTCTAAGAACTGCTCCTTTAATTAATACCATTTTAAGAAATTTTTGGATGCATATTACTTATAATGAGATAAATCTATTCCAGGGTCTTCCTTTTTAATTTTGTAAAGTGCATTTTGGTAAATTTTCCATTGGCCTTATACCCTCTTAGAGGTTCCTTCTCTGGGTCTGTATCTGGCAACAAGCAAAGTGGACCCATAATTGGCCCTGAAAAGCCAGAAACCTGCCCACTCCCAGGCTCCCTGTCGGCCTCCACAGGCCTGGCCCCTGGGTGCTGGGGGTTTGCTTCCAGAGGCAAAGGGTGACCAGCTATCCCAGGAGCCCCCTCCAGGTTGCCCCGGCCCTCATCCTCCTGGACTTGGTATAGTACCAGGGACCCTACTGAAGGATGAGACGTGGCTCGACACTGTTGTGCACAAGTTCAAGTTTCCAGGCACCTTCCTCCGCTCCAATGTGCACACCTGGTTCATCAGATGGATGGTGTGGGTGTGGAATGCTCCGCAAAGCAGAATGACTTTCAGATTAAGGGCAGTGTTTCCAAATGGGGGTCCACTTGAAATTGAAGTTTAACTCTCTGATCACAGTCAGAAAACTCCCCGAATGTTATTAGTGACCCTTCGGTGCCATAGCAGAAGGAATCCCCAGGAGAGGCTGCAGACAGACCTTCGGACACAGAGTTCTGCCTTTTTGGTGAAGGCATTTTCTTGCCTGCCAGTGTTAAAATGATCTGTCATAACTAAAGCTGAACTGTGTTGTTGCTTCAGCACTCAATAAACATGAATAATCTCCTTTTCCAGAGGTGTCTCAGAGGTGATGTACCAGTTCTAAGGTCAGTCCTGTCTCCTGTGACAGCAATGACGTGCTTTCCTTCTCTCTCTTGCAGACTGCATTAGTAAATATGGATCTCCGTACACGAAGAGCCCAGGTTTTGTTACATGCGTTCAAAGTAAGTTTGTCTCCTTCCTGTCTTCCTCCAAGTTGTGTGGGTTTGGGAAACTTCAGGCTCTGCTGTGGTTTTCAAGGGTCTTGAATATTTCCATCATCCTAAGGAGGTATAGCACTGGCCTGAGCTCTGCTCCTTTTCCACTGAACTTTCTCTCTTAAGCAAGTAAGGTTTGGTTTTTTAAATAGGCAAAAAGCGCGTGCAGTATGACATCTAACCCTTTCACGGGTGTACCTCCTACTCAAGCAGTTGGGCTCCCAGAATATTCTTAGACCTACTTATGTGCACAGAGTCTTGGTTTTGCACAAATACTGACTGTACCTGCGCTCTGGGCAGGATGTCTTCCAGCTCGGCGCACCCAGAGCCCGTGCATCCGTGGTGCACCGGCATCGGTAACCAACATGCGTTGCTGGACTTCAGGCTACTTCCAGGGTTTTATTATTGCAAACAAATCTCACGCAGGTCAGAGTGTGTCTGCGGGATGGGCTCCCAGCAGTATGAGTGCGGCCCCCAGCCTGCGGGCATCATTCACTTGGACGCAGATCCAGGGGGGTGATCAGCCCCGCCCCCGTGTCTTTGCTAAGCTGATGTGTTTTTACTTTTTGGTCTCTTTCAATATCAACGGTGAAGAATGATGGCTGGTCTTTCTGTTTATGTTTTTCTCACTAATGAGTGAAGCTGAGCTTTACGTGGTTCAGAACCTTGTGTTCTTTTCCTGCAAGTGATTTGCCTGTTTTTCTCAATTTGTAGGAGCTCTTGATTTGCCATTTGTCCTAAAGGTAGCACAATTTTTCCTCAGCTCACCGTGCATCTTTCTTACTAGTGATGTCACTTTAAATGATCACACAGTAAAAGTGACTTTTTGCCTGTGGTTCTGTCACATTTGAGCCAGGCGTGGAATGCTGCACCCACTGAGCCGGAACAGACTCGGCCTCGCTCAGGTCTGAGTGCCTCACAAGGGGAGCTGCCGGGTTGCCCCAAGCCCACGTGTCAGTACGTTCTCCACAGGTGTGGGGCAGCTGGGCTCTGAGCGCACCGCCCCTGCTGCAGAGCAGGGCTCTTGCTGCATTCCACGTGGGGCCTGCCCCCTCCGGGGTAGCCAAGAAGGCAGGGGAGGACCCAGAGCTGCTCACGGGGCCTGGCCTGCATGGGTGGGTGATGCCGCTGTGTCTGGACACCCACCTGTCCACGTGCTGGCCGCAGGCCTTGTCTGACTTGCCAGGTCCAAGCCCCGGCCCAGATGAGCAGAGGAAATGATTGATTTAACTCAGGAAGGGGAGGGGAAGGTGGTGCTGCTGTTCAGCTCCCATTCCCCCTCTGACCCCAGGGCAGACTCACATAGCAGGTGCAGAGCAGACTGGCCTCTGTGATTTTGGGTAGAAGTGCCTGTTAACTCGGGGTGGCCAGAACCCATGCCCATGCCTCATGGGCAACCTGGAGCAAGCCCCCTCCCTCAGCCACCCGGGGTTCGACCCATGACCTCGGCCTCTGTGGGGTCAACCCGTGACCTCAGCCTCCCCGGGGACAACCTGTGACCTCGGCCTCCATGGGGTCAACCCGTGACCTCGGCCTCCCCGGGGTCAACCCGTGACCTTGGCCTCCCTGGGGTCCACTTGTGACCTCGGCCTCTCCAAGGGCCGAAGTGACCTCAGTGGGGCTTTAGGCAGATGTTAGGGGGTGGGGTTGTTGCAGTTTTAGCTTTGTGTCATTTCGGCTTTTTGTTGTTAGCAATTTTTTTTTATTGTTGTCAATTTGCTAAACCAGTTTCTGCCTTTTAAATTATGTATCCAAACTGATTAGATAGTTTTAGTTCCTGGGTTTTAGACTGTGCTTTTCTAGAGATTATAAACAGTTACCTGGTGCTTCACGCCTCCTGACTGCGTGAGGACCTAAAATCATCGAGGTCTTGCTCAAAGGGAGGCTGCAACGATCCTGGGCCATGTCGTGCCCACGTGAGCGATCTTGTGGTGTTAGAGGGACTCGAATTGTTCGAACAGCAACGATTCGCTCTGAATGGGCTTGAGGTTTGTGCCCCGGTGGTGGGTAGCCAGGGTGTGGAAGGAAAGGGTGTTCCTGAGCTGCCATTAGGAGGACAGATGTCGTGCCATCGCCATGCTGCGTGAGTTCCCAGCCGATCAGGACGCTGCCTCCCACGCCCGGCCTCTCCGTCCCGCCGCTGGGCCAGGCGTGCCGTCCTCCACGGGTGCCCATCAATTCTCCGAAGCCTGAGGCATCCCACAAATGCAGCGCCATCCTTACTGGGGACAAGGCCCCGAGGCCTGCCGCTCAGGAAGGAGGCACGCCCTGCCCGCCCCCCACCGCCAGAGCCAGACCCCCAGGCCGCCCCGCAGAAGTTGGTCTCGGCCCCTGAATGCGGGGACCCTGAGGTTTCATTAGAGGGGGTTTAGGCATTCTAGGCAAATTCCAAAGTTAATCAGCCCTCATGCCAAATGCACGGTTACGCACTTGTGAAATAACTAACACTTCAACCAAATGTATCAAGTGGAGACACATACCATCTGCCTGCCCTCCCTCCCTCCCTCGGGGGCCCCTCTAGGCTTCTGCTGTGAGCAAGCTGGCCAGGACCCGGCCCACGACCCCTCCTGCCCTCAGAGCCCTTCGGTGCTGGGCGTGACCTCACCCTCCCTGGCCCTTCTGCGCTCCAGAGAGTAACCCGCGGTGCAGCCAGTCCAGCGGCGTGGGGACCGGAGGGCTGACCTGCCAGGCCCCCGGCCGCTGTGGGACGCGCTGTTCCCAGACCCCATTTCCTTATTCCTGCACCCAATTCCTACTTGCATGAGGGTAGAAGGCATTTCCCTCGCTCTGCCAAAAACAACTGTGCAAGTGTCACAAAGCCCTTGGGGACGCTGTGTTTGGCCAACACTTGCCACAGGAGGAACCCGTGGACAGACGTGGTCCCAGTTGTTCGGATGCAGGCCATTATGCAGATTCCCCGAGAAGTGGGACCCTCCATGACAGGTCCCAGACCTGCGTGGGACGAAAGGACGCAGCTCGGCGGAGAGTTGAGTCACGCGGCCAAGGGCGGACAGGAGACCTGGGGGGTCTGGGGATTTTGCAGGGCCAGTGAGGCCTGGACGTGGCCCTGCTGGGAATTCGCTGCCGCGGACCGGGGGACCAAGCCCTGTGGCAGAAATTCAGAGCCCAGTCCTGGCGTTAGGCTGGAAATGTCAGTCATTTTAAGAAAGAAGAGATAAATTGGTGGTGAGTGCCCCCCCGGCCAGCCTCCCAGCAGGACGGGCATAGGCCTGAGCTCTGGGCTCTCAGCGGCCCTGTTGGTTCGGGCAGAGAGAAAAGCTGGAACGCCGTCACGGAGCCAGACAATCCTCTCTACCGCAGCCCACCCACCGCATGGTTTGCGATGGGACAGGCACTGTAAATATGACGGAAGTATTTGCACCGACGGGGGTCCTATAGGACACGCAGCCCTGGAGAGGCGGACGCGGGGTGAGAATGTCCTGCGGCTGGTCTGGGCCAGTCCTGGGTGTCACCTGCCCTCCACGGCCTGGCCGGCCCCTTGCCCAGGCCTGGGGATGGGTATCAGCCAGTCGGGAGGCCACAGTCCTCAGGGCTGCCAGGGAAATGTCCTCATGGCCCCCTCCGGTGACAACGACCCAGAGTAGCAGGATTTGCCACGATTGTCACTGCAGCTGATGGGATCTCGAGGTGGCCGTAGGTGCTCGGGTGTCACCTTCCCCTTCGCGCTGGCCCTCAGTTTGGACCTTAGCCATGGACCCCGTGCTGTCCAGGGGCTGGACGAGGCACGTGTCCACGCTGGAGGACAGGACAGAAATGGGAGCCACCAGGAGCTACTTACTGTCCACATGGGCGTGACAGGAAGGGTGGCCACAGCTTGTCGAGCAACAAAGGCACGAGCAGACCCACACAGGGGCTGGGAAGGACATGAGCAGGCTGATCTGGAGCCGGAAATCTCGTGGGCCTGCTGTGTGAAGGGCACGGTGTGCGTGGCGGAGGCTGGTCTGTGCCCAAGGACAGTGCGGGCGGACAGACATCAGGCATCAGCTCCCTCATTGAGATTCCCGGAGACCTTGGAGGCGGGTGGTGAGCTGCGGAGACTCAGGGCTAGCCCTCTCCCTACGACCTGCCTGCCCGGCCGGCCTGGGATTCTCTGCCCCTGCGGCTTCAGGCTGAGCAGCTCCGGGACAGAGGTGTCCCTCTCTGCCAGCCCACCCGGCACGGCCATAGCCTGGCAGAGGATTCTTGGAGCTCTGCTGTCCACCACCAGCACCCTGGAGCATGCGACTGCCCATGGGTGGGGCTCTGCCTCAGCCTCTGAGGTCGGGGATGGTCCCTGGGAGCTGGAGCCTCAGCAGCCTATGCAAAGCTCGTCACACACCGAGCCCCTGGAAGGTGCTCCATGTGACAGTCTCAACCATAGCCCCTAAAGCAGGTGGAAATTGTTCAGTGATTAATGCTCTGGACCGCCACCCAAGCAAGGGGGTCAGGAGCAAACTAGCTGGCGCCCCTCTCTGGAAGGGCCAGGGCAACTCCCATCCAGTGACGGGTGTGGGGGGTGCTCCTGCAGCAGCCACGCCCTGGCGGGGGAGGGTGTTGGCAAAGGTCGATGGTAGGGTTTGAGTGGATAGGGTGCCTGGCCTGGGAAGGTGGGGGCATGTTCCTCATGCGACCCCTTGGGTCAGCCAGGGGTCAGTGGGCCTGCTCCCTGCGAGGTCAGGGCGTGTGGAGTCGGGCCAGGCCCAGCCCTCTCCTCCACTGCCCCTGGCCCGATGGGCAGGTGGCCACTCCCTCTGAGCTGACCTGGATTTCCTGGACCTGGACAAGGGTCTGGCCAGCCTGTTCCAGGACCGCCCTCCTGCCTGGAGGTGGGGTCTGTGCCACCAGCCTGGGCCTGCCTCGTGCCCGCCCCTGAGCTGCTCCCTCCCAGCTGAACCTTTTCTCCTTTCTTTTGACGCAGACCTGCCTGACCAGTGTTCCCCGAACCCCTGTGACAAGGAGGGGACCCAAGTGTGCCAGGACCTCATGGGCAACTTCTACTGCCAGTGCAGGGCCGGCTGGGGTGGGCGGCTCTGTGACAGAGGTAAGGGGGCCCTGCAGCCACGGGACCAGGTGGCAGGGCTCTTGGGGGAGGGGCTGTGGCCCGTCCCTCTGTTTCCAGCCTGCCCCGCCCCTGGGGACACAGGGGGCTTGTTCCAGCTAAGGCAGGAACCCCAGGCTGTCTGGGGACCTGGCCACTCAGGGGCAGAGGGAGAGCAGGGGCAGGGATGTCCCTGGGGCCCCTCCAGCCCCCCAAGAGCAGGAATATTCAGACAGTGTGGGAAGGCCTTGCTTCTGCCCCCAAGCGCTGGGTGCTGTCCAGTTTGAGAAGCATCGACTGCTGGTGGCGGCCTGGAATGAAGGAAGGTGCCACCATTGGGCTGCCCCAGGGGGCTTGGTGTCTGGGGACGAGAGAGTTTCACGGCCAGCCTCCCTGTCTACAGTGGGGGGGGGGGGATGCTCAGGACCTGGTTACCTCAGGCAGCCCTTTCATGGCGGTGCCGAGCCACCCTGGGGGGCAGGGGGGCTGCGCATGTGGGGCTCGGCAGGCTGAGTCTGGCCAGATCCACCCTCTTCAGCCCCCACCCTCCGCCCGTGCACACTGCGGCCACGGGGCTGGCCCCGAGGACCGTCACTGCCCACAGTGCGGCGGGGTCTCCCTCTGCCCTCGCGCCCATGGCGCAGACGCGTGCCCCCTGGGGGTCGTGTGTCGGCTCTGGGCACTCCCCAGTCTCTCTGTGTCCTGTGCCCAGATGTGAATGAGTGCAGCCAGCAGAACGGGGGCTGCAACCAAATATGCTTCAACAAGCCGGGCAGCTTCCACTGCGCCTGCTACAGTGGCTACGCGCTCTCCCCCGACGGCAGGACCTGCAGAGGTAATGCCCGGGCCACAGGCCCCTCCCTGCCTCCCTGTGCCCCACCCCCGCTCCTCCTCCTGTTGTTTGTGCAGTGGCCAAGTTGCCAGAGTCAGCCCGATGGCCAGATTGCTGAAGTTGGCAGTCCCATGTGCTCCTCTGAGAGAGGCTCTGGGGGGGCGGGAAGAGGGTGGAGGGCAGCCTGCAGAGCACATGTCCGGGCATGTCAGCGGCCACAGGGAGCTGCCCCAGCACCCGGCACAGGATGACTCACCGGGGTCTGAGGACCGGCCAGCCCAGCTGAGGAGACCTCCCCCGCTGCCCCAGGAAGCGGAAGCAGCTGCACGCGTCCGTGTGACCAGAGGCCAGGACGGAGCCCCGGACGGAGCCCAGACAGGGGCTGGGGTGCAAGCAGAGCCTTCCTCTAACCTGGGCGGCGCGCCTGTCCACGTCCACCCGGCTTGCTTCCCCAGGGCCCCGACACCCGCTTCCCTGTGGCAGAGGCCCGCTGTCCACTGAGCAAAGCAGAAGCAACTCAGCCCTCCCTCAATCTGGGGGGCCCGTGACCCCACGCCCTGACCACCCCAGAAAGTCTGCAAAAGAGGGGCAGCCCACTTTACCGGGGGCTCTCGCCCTCACCCCCCCCCTCCCCCGCCCTATGACACAGACCTGCTGACATCCACTGCTGGCGTGTCCCTGAGAACCTGGACCTTTCTTTAGTGCTGCCCGCCTACCTGGGGGTGGGACAGAGGTGCTGAGGGAGAAGCAGCCTCAGGAGAAGGCTCGCGCAGTGGCCGGCGCCACAGGTGAACCTCTGAGTTGGACAACCCCCTTCCCAGAGCTGCCGGCTGGCCCTGAGGCTAGAAGAAAGGGACGTTTTTGACAGTGGCCGAGGACATCCCCATGTGGGGCACAAGTACTGAACACATTCGCCCAGTGGCTGATGGTGCCGAGTGCCACGCAGGAAGTCCTGCTCTAGCCTCCTCGGAAGCCCCTGAGAGACAGAAGTCTACTTCCCACCACTCACCAAGCGTGTGGTGTGTGAGAGAGCCTGGGGGATCCCCTGCGTCCCAGCGCCCTTCCCCTCAGCACCACGTGCAGGACAGGGTGGCGGGGTCCTGCACCCGCGGGTTCTGCAGCGGCTCTCCGTAGCATGGCTGATCCACGATGAGCGGGATGGCAGGGTCCCACCTCCGCTGCCAGGTTTCCGGGCGTGCCTGCCGATACCAGCTCCCGTACACCCTTCCTCTTGACCATCACCTATTTCTCTGGGGACACTGGACCCCAGACCCAGCCAAGGGAGGAGGCTGTGGGGAGGGAGGAGTCTTGTCACTGTGGTACGGACTTCCCATCTTGCCCTCCTCAATCAGACCCTGAGATGCTGGGAAGGAGGGAGTGGGGTTGCTGCACCCCACTTCTACAGCCCCCCAGCATCCTGAGACCAGGGGCTCGGGCCTCTCCACTGTCTCTCTTTGGCTGCAGGAAGGGATCTCTAAGCCACGGGGCAGGGAGGTGGGCTGGGTGGGGCCTCTCCTGGGGGAGAGCCGATGAGGCCCCGGGGTGAGTGGCGCAACAGGGAGCAGGGCCTGTTTGGGGCCACGGGGCCACATAGTAAGACTGGGTCTAGGCTGTCTGTGCCCGTGCCCAGTGCCAAGGCCACGCCCTGTGTGCTGCATCAGCTCTCCTGGGCACCGTGCTCTGTGACGAATGGTTGGACAGCAGCGACTTTAACGGGCCAAGTGCTGGCGGGTGCAGGGCCCAAGAGGCTGGGGTCACAGGGCCCTCGGACAGAGCTTGGCCCTATGGGCCCCCGGCCCCACCCACCGTGGCTCTGTGGCCGTGGCTGATGGCCAGTGTGGGAGAAGAAGCCAGGGTGGCATGGGGCCGAGTGGGTGCGTGGGGTCCAGAGCTTCGTGCGCCATTTCCTATGGGGAGGGGACGGCCTGGGACGCCCTGATGTGCTGGAACAAGGCAAGGACAGGAGGCCCTCCTTGGTGCTGCCACCAGCCATCCTGCAGCGCCCTGGGATTTGGGGAGACGTGGGCTCTCGGGCCCTCCCACCACCACAAGCGCTGCAGGGGCTTTGGTGGGCTTCTGTGCAGCGGCTGAGGCTGAGGGAGACCTGCTGTCACAGCAGCGTCTCACGGGCTGGGTTCGGAGAGCTACATGCTAATCAGGCATCCTTTGTGCGGGGCGGCGGCCCATGTCCTGCAGCCCAAGTGTGAGCGCGGTGCCTGCCCGAGGTTGGTGTCCCCCCAGGTGTGGCCAGTGCCCGTCAGGAGCCAGCACCCCGCCTGCTGATGGGAGGAGGCTTCTGAGCCCCTGGACATGGGGCTGGCCTACCCAGGTCTGGCCGAGACAGAGGCTCAGAGGCAGATGGACAGAGTGAACCCAGCGGCGTTCACACTGCCTCTGGAGGGCACCTGTTGCTGCTTTTTCCCATGGTCGGTGAGCGACATGCTAGGGTTTTCGTGTTTGAGAGCCTGTGTTTGTTGGTAAGCTGCCCTTGTAAGGAGTTAGGGATCGTTGTGAGGCTCCGTGACACGGGTTATTCACCATCTGAGGAATCCGTGTTGTTTGAAGTCATAATTGCACTTTCTAGACACCCCTTTCTGTCCCTGGCGGAAATGGGTTTTTAACTGCAGAGATTTTGGACTTGTTGTTTGCCAAGGTGGCAGAATGGATGGAGCCTCAGGAAGAGCCTCGATAATTGATCATTACTGTGGTGTTTGATTTCCGTCCAAGAGGCCTGGTGTGCGAATGGACCAATCGGCATGGGGCTCCAGGGACCAGGGGGCACCTCCATTCAGGAGACCCCGGGGATTCCTCCTTCACCTTCCTGTGCCCGAGCACTCACCCCTGCACAAGCACAGTATCCACTGGTCTGAGGTCAACCTTGTCACCTGGGATCCCGGTCGGAAATGCCCCTGCCCCCACGCGTGAGCCTGGGGCTGCAGAGTCCAGTGGATGGAACGAAGGGAGGAGGGCCTAGGCAGCCCAGGAGCTGAGCTGAGCACCACCCAAGGCAGTGGCTCACGCTGCAGCACCTCCCTGACCAGCCGTGGACTGGCGACTAGCGGAAACAGCCCTGGTCAAGTGCTCTGCTTTCTCTTGCAGATGTGGATGAGTGTGCAAATGGAGGTGCCTGTGGGGAGGCACGCTGCAGGAACCTGCCAGGCTCCTATTCCTGCCTCTGTGACGCGGGTTACGCTTTCAGCTCCCAGGAGAAGATCTGCCAAGGTATCCCTCCACATACATGCATGTGCACACACTCACACCTGTGAACACGTGTGCATCCACACACACGTCACATGTGTGGGTAACACATGGATGTGCGCACACTCACACCTGTGAACACGTGTGCATCCACGCACACATCACACGCGTGGGTAACACATGCATGTGCACACTCACACCTGTGAACACATGTGCTCGTGTGCACATCCACACACGTCACACATGTGGGTAACACATGCGTGTGCACACACACCTGTGAACACGTGTGCATCCATGCACACGTCACACGCATGGGTAACACATGCACGTGCACACTCACACCTGTGAACACTTGTGTGCTCATGTGCGCATCCATTCACACGTGTGGGTAACACATGCATGTGCACACTCACACCTGTGAACACGTGTGCATCCATGCACACATCACACGTGTGGGTAACGCATGTGTGCACACACCTGTGAACATGTGTGTGCTCGTTTGCGCATCCATGCACATGTCACACGCGTGGGTAACACATGTGTGTGCACAACTCACACCTGTGAACACGTGTGCTCGTGTACACATCCATGCACACACAGCACATGCACACGTCACGCGTGGGTAACACACATGCATGCGCACACACCTGTGAACACATACGAGCTTGTGTATATGTGTGTGTGTGCCCCCGCATGTGCACACACATCACCCATGTGTGCATACCATACCACATATGCATCCCCAGGTGCCTCTTCATGCAACAAGGCACCTTCTCCAAACTGCCGTGGACACAGTAAAGATTTGAGGAGGAGGGACCCCTGTGCCACTGTGACAGATGAACCTCTAGCCAACCCTCAGGTCAACCTGCTATGTTTGGGGACAGTTGATGAGCACTCCTTGTGTCCAGTGGGGAGCACAGCGAGGGCTTGTTTTCTTACCAGTCTTCCTGCCCTTCCCTTCCAAGGGGAAGGTGGGGTGGCCCCAGCCTGCACACCCTCCACACCCTCCTCCGTGTTCCCTGAGGGGTCTCCCTTGGGCCCCTGAAGCAGCCCCAGGGATACCTGCCAACAGCACCAGACCCTTCAGACCCTCAAGCCAAGAACTGCATAGACGTGGTTTGTGCACTGACCTGGTAGCTTCTTCCTTCAGGGGGAGAAAAAGCAGAGGAAGAGACCACTGACCAGCCCTGCACGTGGCTTTAGAGCTGGGGGAGCACAGGGTGTGGCCTGGGGGTGGGTGCCTCCTGAGTCACATGCTCCGGAGCTCATTTTCATGGTGAGCACACCATGGGCATGATCAAAGAGATGGCGTGGGCGCTGCATGTGGTGAAATTTGCCCGTCTCCCTTGTGGTGGCAGATGTGGACGAGTGTGCGGACGGGCGCTGTGAGCAGGCCTGCGTCAACTCCCCGGGGGGTTACACCTGCCACTGTGACGGGCGTGGAGGCCTCAAGCTGTCCCCGGACATGAACACCTGCGAGGTAGTGTCCTCAGGAAAACAGGGCCGCCAGAAGACCTGGTGTCCCTGGGGCCGGTGGCGGTGCAGGACGGGATGTCTGTCCCATGCATGACATCTTTGAAGGGCAGCTCCCCACCCACAGGTGACCCAGTGGCCTGCGCCCAGAGCACACACTACCCTCCCCGTCTGCGTGGTTGGGCTCCGGGACATGTGTGCAGTCAGAGTCTCCTGACTCGCCGGCCGGACCCCCGCTCGGCTCGCACCTGCGGGTCTCCGGGCTGTAACAGATTCTGGGTTTCGGTCAGAGCCTGGCCGGCAGAGCGGCAGAGACGGGGCTCCGCTGCGTCCTGACAGACCCCTTGTGACTGGGAGGGGCTGTCCCGGGGGCGCCCGCCTGACACCCCTCGCTCCCATTCCATAGGATATTTTGCCCTGCGTGCCTTTCGATGTGGCCAAAAGCATAAAGTCCTTGTACCTGGGCCGCATGTTCAGTGGGACGCCCGTGATCAGACTGCGCTTCAAAAGGCTGCAGCCCACCAGGTGAGCAGCGGCTCATGCAGCGCAGAGCAAAGCACAGTGGACGGGAGCCCGAGGAACGGCCGGCCCGACGCTCCCGGGGACTGCAGACCCCCGGGCCATTCCCTGGGCAGCGCCCCAGTGGTCCTGGCGGTCGGCCCAGTCCCTGCCCAGGCACGGCAGCACAGTTCCAGCTCTGGGCCTCCGGGTCAGCATGGGAGCCCGCCCCTGTGGGGGGCGCTGCTTCTGGCATCCAGGAAAGCGTCCCAGGCTGCCCGCACACCTGCTGTTCTTCCCCGGCTGTCCGGGTCTCATGGGGCAGGAGGCCGCGAGCCGCCAGCCCGTGTGTCACCTGTTTGTTTCTTGTGCTGGCACTCAGGCTGGTCGCCGAATTCGACTTCAGGACCTTTGACCCCGAAGGTGTCCTCTTCTTTGCCGGAGGCCATCAAGACAGCGCCTGGATCGTGCTGGGCCTGCGAGCCGGCCGGCTGGAGCTACAGCTCCGCTACCACGGCGTCGGCCGCGTCACCAGCAGTGGGCCTGTCATCAACCACGGCATGTGGCAGACGGTGAGTGTGGCCACCACCGCCCCCCAGGCCGGCCGGGGTCGGGGGCTTCTGGGGGAGGGCCCCGGCATTTGCACACCTGGCAGTTAGTGGACACCACACAGGCCCCCTGCTCCTGGGAAGTTCACAGTTGATGGGTCAGGAGCTGTGGTCTCAGTGAGGCCGTTCCCCCGGGACACTGGGCTGTGTCCCAAAACGGTTCTGTTCGTCATAGCTGCCAAGAGCCGTGGGGGCTGCTGGTCACCCTGGAGCACAAAGGATGCCCCACCTCAGAAAACCGTCCAGTTCAGAATGTCCGTGGCGCTGAGGCTGGGGCCCCTGGGCTGAGGTCTGGGCATGGCTCCCGTGTCCGTGCATCTGCACTATCCCAGGACCCAGCTCCTGGGGCCTGTGCCATTCCTGCAGAAACCCAGACCCACTCACACGCGGGCACATCCTTCTGGAGAACGCCCTGCCCACCCAGAGCCTGACCTGTCAGTCCTGCTGAGACCACTGCCCTGACCTGCACCCCAATGCCCAGAACACAGCAGTCTGTGACACACAGGAACCTTCCAGAAGTTCAGAGGCCCCTGGTTAGAAGTCGGCTTTTAGAAGTAAGCACTTGAGAGAGAAAAGCATTCTTTTTCCCTTTGGAAGTTCAGATAAAATGGGAAATTCTGAATGAAAACAGTGTGGACGTTTGCTAATCTCCATCCTGTGGTCAGGCCTGCTGCCTTATTTCCTGAAGCACAGGTCTTTCCAGAGCGGCGGGAGGGACACTGGCAGCAAAGCTCAGATAACGCAGCAGAGCCGGAGGGTCACGGCCGCCCTCGGGGTCGGGGAGCAGGCGCTCTGCACAGGCAGCGGGAGGGGCCCCGGGGGGGCTGGAGGCAGTGCCTAGGTGAGGAAGCTGGGCCTGCAGTTGGTACAGCTGCCCCACCCGCGGCATGAACTGGCCGCCCAGGGCGGGGTCGGCCCAGAGGCAGCCCCTCCGCCCTCCCTCTCCTGACACCGTCCTGCTCCCCCTCTTGACCACACTCTGACCCACGCACCTCCATGTTTCCCACGTTAACCAAAAAGGAAACTGATGGACCTCTGGAGGGCCAGAAGGACACACAGAGTGTAGAGATGGGTTTTTACTTCTCCTGCATGGAAAGGAGGAAAGAATGCAAACTTGTGGAGTGAATCCACATGCCCACAGAGCATCCCGTCTGTGCCAGGCACCCAGTTACCTGCTGGGATTCAGCAGCGTGCCGTCCTGCCTTCAGTGGGGCGCTGCTGCCCACAGGGGAAGTGAAGCGCCAAAAGGGGAGGCAGTGGCTTCAGCCGGGATTCCCGCTCCCAGGAAGCAGATCGTGGCGGGGCTTCGAGAAGCTCCGGGAGGGGCCCGGAGGAGTGGCCCCCAGTGGCTCCACATGGAGGAGGCGTGAAGGGAGAAGCCAGGGCTGGGGGTCCCATCAGGGCCTGGAGGGAGGTTGTGTTGGCGCGGAGGACAGCGAGAGTGCAGGCAACGATGTTGCTCCCTGCCCCGGGGTGATGGGGCCCTTTTGCAAAGTGTGCCCCCCTCACGGCCCTGGTCTTCTCCAGATCTCCGTGGAGGAGCTGCACCGGAATCTGGTCGTCAAGGTGAACAAGGACGCTGTCATGAAGATCGCGGTGGCCGGGGATCTGTTTCAGCTGGACAGAGGGTTGTACCATCTGAACCTTACCGTGGGAGGCATTCCCTTCAAGGAGAAGGACCTGGTGCAGCCTGTGAGTACTGTCCTTAGCCGCGGTGTGGGAACCCAGGCTCCCGCAGAGGACTGGCACGGCCACGAGCTGCCGTGTTTCGCGCTCACCATGCTCAGGCAGCGGTTTCCTGGATACACCCTGTCTCCCTGTGAGACTCGCTTGAGTTTTCATCTGAAGCGATAATAAAAATGCCTGTTTTGCAGTGGAGATAAAACACAATGAAATTATTCTTTACCAAAAGGAACGGTCAACTTTTTTGGACAATTCCCAAGAACATTTGGGTTGTTAACCCTGCCGGGATTTCCACAGGGGAGAAAGACTAACGGGGAGGTCAGTACTAGTCATCCCTCAAAGCCCTGCCGGGCCTCAGCCCTCACCCCCATCAGGATCCCTCCGTCACCCAGCATGTGGATGGCCGGGGCCAGAATCCTCCACCCTGTGATGATGATTCCCACACAAATGGGAGAAGCGGGTCACGGTCACTTTGACGTTCCTCTGGTGGGAGGTGTTGGCCTGGTCCTCCCTGCAGGGGTGGAGGATGATGTCTTGTATACAACCTGGGGCATCAGACCCCATTCCAGGGGTCCTACAGTTGCTGTTTATACCCCTTCATTTTACAGACCCAGGCAGGGGTGACCCAATTTGCTCTAAACCATGTAGCAAGTTCATGGTGCACTGGAATTAGCTGCTCAGCCCCCAGACTCACATTTCTGGAGGTACCAGGCACCATGTGTACCCTTGTCCACATCCTTCCAGTGGGCAGTCAGCGCTCTGCTTTGGGAGTGGGTGGGCAAATCCAATGCAGCCAGAAAAGGTGGGCATCCATACAGGGAGCACAACATCCTTACCTTGCTTGGGACGAGGACCCACGCGAGTGCTGGGTATCCTGCAAGGACTCATTCTGTCCAGTGAGGAGCCCTTTCCGGAAATAAATGTCTCCACAAGTAGGACTTGTCCATTTTGCAGTAGATTTCCACAGGCCTGAGCCACGCATCCCATCCCTCTGACCAGGGTGGCACCAGCCACATGGCCTCCCGCCATGGTGTCTGGGAGCCTGTGACGTGGCTACGTGGTCCTGGGAAGCCACTGGGATTTCTCTGTCCTTCCAGATAAACCCCCGTCTGGACGGCTGTATGAGGAGCTGGAACTGGCTAAATGGTGAAGACACCACCATCCAAGAGACGGTGAAAGCAAACCCCAAGATGCAGTGCTTCTCTGTGACGGAGAAAGGGTCCTTCTACCCCGGGAGCGGGTTTGCATTCTACAGCCTGGATTACAGTAAGTCTCAGCTTCGGCGTGGGCACAGCCATGGTCGTGTTCTGCACAGTACGAGGGGCAAATAGACAAAGCAGGAAACAGCTTCCTTGGACAGCGGTGTCCAGGATAAGCTGATGACCCCACGGCCTGGGGCTGCTGCTCGGGGTGGCTGCTCCCAGTCAGGGTTTCCAGTGAGCCAGCAAGGAAGAAATGGCCGATGGGAGCAGACGTCCACCCTGCTTGCGCTGGGACAGCTGGGGGTGGGCAGGCAGGTGGGACGGAAGGGTCTGAGGGGATGCTTGCAGAACGTCCTCGGACAAGATGAGCTTAGGTTTGTCCAAGCTCTGCTTGCAGTCACCACAGCCTCGTGAGGAAATGGGGGCAGCATCCAGAGATGGCAGGTGGCTGCCTCTAGGACTCCAGGGGGCTCAGGTGTTGAAGGGAAGAACCAGAGGAGCAGGGGCGGTGGCCGGCCCTGCCGTGTTGCCAGGACCCTGGGGCTCTTGGCAGAGCTGGGTCCGGCCCCGCCAGCGTTGAGGGGCATGCAGGGGAAAGAAACCAAACCTGCAGGAACAGCCCGTCTTGAAGCTCCCGTGACGTCCACGCACAGCCGAGGAGGTGGGGCGGGCGGTAAGGGGCCCCCACCCTGAGCCCATGCCCAGCGGACGTCTGGCCGTCAGTGTAGCGAGAGGGGCTGCAGGGGGCCGGGGGCTGGCTGGAGGCCCTCCCACCTCTGGAACGCAGGGCCCGTCCTTTCTTAGCACAAAACACAAGCCTCTTTCCTTTTATTACCAAATTCACTTTACAGTAAAAATTCATAACCCTAACATGCTGACCAAGGAGCAATCACTTAAACACACACTTTACGTGGCACAAATTGATATATTCCGAATCGCCAGGCTATGGGAGCTCTCGGATGCCGGCGTGAACCCCGTGAACAGCGCGGGTCATGGTGACGGCTAAGCAGTTCTATTGTCTGACTCTGGGCTCAGTGGATTTTCCCTAATCCCTCCCTTAGTTAGCTTTAAAATTAACCCTGATTCTTGAGCACTCACACACTGGAGCCCTTAATGTCACTGCGCCTGGAGAGTGGGACAGCCGTGTATGGGGCCCAGGGAAATGTCCAGGCACGCAGCCATGCAGGGTCTCTGGCGGGTTCACGGCCCAGGTCCCTGCCACGCAGCCCACATCCAGAGGCTGTCTGTCTGGTGGCTCTTAAGGCGCCTCTGTTCCCCACCTCTGGCCAACACCCTGGTGCAGATAGGCTCCCAGGCGGGTGCAGCGGCTGCTCCCCAGGGCCATCCCAGGCTCTGCCCTGCTTCTGTCCACGTGGCGTTCGAAGCCCCACTCTTCCCAAACAGCGAGCTGGTTGTGTTAAGTTACAACCCACACCCGCTCTCCAAGAGGACAGGGGCCACACCCCCCACGTCTGCTCCAGCACCTGTGGGCCCCCCGGCTCAGAGGACATGGGGCCTGCTCCTCCTTCCTTAGTGAGGCGGCCATCCCCTCAAGACCTGGGGTCACCACTCCCTTCTATCTTTGCTTTAATGGTCAGAACCATTCCTGTGCCATTAAAGGTGTTTCCAAGGAAAGAACCACCCAATACACGCATTATTCCTTTAGTCTTCATGATTATACAGGAAAATCTAGAACATCATCATAATATTTAATATAAAATCTCACCTGTAAAGCACTTCATGACCTTTCCTCAGAGCATCATCCACACTTCCTGTGCTGGGACACAGGCCTGGGCAGAATCCGCAGGGGCATGTCCCCTTATGCGGAACACCGCGGTCCGCGCACGCTCCTGCAGGCTTCGTCAGTCAGCTCCATGACAGCAAAGGCCAGAGGGTGTTTAGAACTCTGTGCATTTTTAATAAACCTCCGATACCATTTTATAACTCAGAAGAGCCTCCTTAGGATGTCCCAGAGTCTGCACCCAGCAGCAGTTGGAGGTGGGAGACCCCACTCTCCCCACCCCAAGAGGCCCCCCAGCACAGCCGAGGCCCCAGCGTTGGAAGCACTTCCGACCACACCATGCACCTGGTCCCGTCATGGGAAAACTCAGTGCCAGAAAACACTCCTCTCCCCTGACGGAAATAAAGGCAACACTTGGCCACAGGGAAGATCGCTGTTTTTTGGGGGGGGGGGGGTTTGTTTTTGGTTTTTTGGCTGCTTTTTCCAGTTCTGCGTGCATTCAGTTCAGTGGACAATTATTGGGAACGGACGTAGCGGACCCCACTTAGGGTCGGGAGACCCACAGATGGTTCAGGGTGCTTGCAGTCCAGTGAAACCCAGGTCATGGTTCACCTCGGCACCAGCCCACCTGCAGCAAGGGTGTCTGAGCTCCCGCGGACACAGCCCCTGCTCCGGCATCACCCGCCTGAACAGGCTCCTTCGTCAGGACATTAATGGTCTCTGAGACAGAAGCACCCAAGCCGTGGGGCGGAGGGTGTCTTCGCGCGTCGCCTTCAGCAGACAATTCAAGTGTATGGAGGAAATGTGCGTTGTATTTGCCCCCAGAGAACCACGGTCCAGACCTTTCTACCAAAATGTTTTCTGGAACTGTCTGTGCGAGATCCGTAGGGATATCCTACATGTCTTTCACTTGGACGCTCGTGCGTCCTGTCACTCATACGTCACATATGTAGGCACAGGCGCCCAAGTGAGGGGTAAAGTAGCGGCAAGGCTGTGCTCGCGGCATGGAGCTGTGGGGTCTGAGAAGGGCGCTCGGTGCAGCTTGCCTTCTAAGGCCTTCCAAGCATGTCTGACTTTGTCGAGCCACCTGAAGGGCGCAGGTGAGACGCTGTGGGGTTGAGGGCCGGGCGCTCCAGCGTGTCCTGCAGGAAAGGAAGGTGGGGTGCCAGGGAGGGGTGCCCACGGCCCACGGGCACATGGTGGGTCAGGCCCACATGCTCCCCAGCGGTCGGCTCCCTGGGGACAGGTTGTCCCGTGGCCTCCGCAGCGAGGCGGGGCTGACAGCTGCCACCCCCACTCACCGCGGCCGGCCCCGCCTGGATTGCCTTCTGATGTGCGGCCCTCATTGCAGCTCGGACATCCGCGGACGTCAGCACAGAAGCAACCTGGCAGATAGAGGTCGTGGCTCGGATCCGCCCCGCCACCGACACGGGGGTGCTGCTGGCGCTGGTGGGCGGTGACCACGTGGTGGTCCTCTCTGTGGCCCTGGTTGACTACCACTCCACCAAGAAGCTCAAGAAGCAGGTACCCCTCGCTGCAACCCCGGGCCTGGCGGGTCCCCAGATTCTGCCTCGGGAGGCTCTGTCCCCGCATCGCACGGGCCTCACGGGTCCAACAGCTGCAGGGCTGAGGACATTGCTGACCCGAGGTTGCCCAACGGCCTGGGGGCAGAGCCGTGTGGGCCATGGCCCGGGAGCAGTTATGCGGTGGGGCAACTTCCCGCCAGACAGTCAGCCGACATAACAGTTTAGAACAACGTGCGTCGGTCACTCACCTCTGTGTCACACCACTTCACTGACCAGTGCAGACTTCTGGTTTCTCCTGCACACTCAGATGTGCCTGCCTGGCCCGAGCCCCTGGGTGCTGCAGGCCTGTGTCCAGCCAGCCCTTCACACCCAACCAAGTTGACCACCGTTGTGTGGGACCCCCTGTTTACTCAGGGAACAGCCAAGGGGCAGAGGAAGGAGCTTTTATTTGCTCGCCTCTGTCCAAAGTGAGTGGACCTGGCGGAGCGGGAGGGTGCGTGCACACCGGGCCAGCCTGCCCCCGCACCGGTCCAGCGCTAGGCTCCCCAGGCTGGGCGGTAGCAGGCCCGCCGCAGAGCCCCCACCACGGAGCACTAGTCCACACACTGTCTGGACCTGCAGACAAACAGCTCGGGCACCCACAGGGCGCTGCCGACGCTCCCAGGGCATGGAGAGTGAATGACGCTGGGCCAGCTGTGTGTCCATCCCCTGCTGTTGGACTGTGCGTCCGTCCCCTGCTGTGTGTCCGTCCCCTGCTGTCTGTGTGTCCATCCCCTGTTGTCGGGCTGTGTGTCCGTCCTATGCTGTCAGAGTGTTTCTGGCCCACGTTATCAGAGGTGAGTTCTGCCTGGGAGGAACACCCAGTGCACGTGACCAGCTGTCTCCTGGGATGTTTGCCTTTCCGGCCCCGCACCTTTGGCCTCTCTGTTGTGGCTTATGTGGCATTTTCATGTGGAAGAAGTGGCCGTGTCCTGTGTTCTGGATTACGGACACGCAGGCGGCACATGCGCTTAGATGGCTGGAGAGTACGGTGCCCCCGACGCCTGGCCTGGGAGGGTGTTGCTGCCCTGTCTGTCGTCTGTCCACCTTCCACACGCGGAAGCTGAGTCGCACACCAGTGCACCAGCACCACAGAATGCAGAGCCCCGGCCGCAGGAGACCACCGCCCCCACAGCGGGCTCGGGGGGCAGGGAGACAGGACAGGAGGCCCTCGTGCTCAGGTGCGTGTCTCCCCACAGCTGGTCATCCTGGCCGTGGAGGGTGTCACCCTGGCCCTGATGGAGATCAAGGTCTGTGATGGCCAGGAGCACCGAGTGGTCATCTCCGTGCGGAAGAATGAGGCCACCCTGGAGGTCGACGGCACCAAGGGCCAGAGTGAAGTGAGCGCCGCGGGGCTGCAGGAGCGCCTGGCCGTGCTCGCGAGGCACCTGCAGGGCTCTGTGCTCACCTTTGTGGGCGGCCTGCCAGGTAGGGTTCCCACGGCTGCACCCTCGGGGTGGGGGCCCCCACGGTTCCGACTGTCCCCAGTGTGCTCACTCCAGACTGGGCCCGGGTGTTTCTGTGGAGGGTGAACTTTTATTTTAGCAGAAGAAGAAAAGCAGGTGCATTTCTTGGCTGGCATCTTGCTGCCTTAGGGCCCGTCAGTGCCACCTTCGCAGTTTGGGGGGTGAGGCTGAGACCACGCTTGCCGGGATGAGCTTCGGCCCGAGGCTGCTGTCCCTGCGTCCTCCAAGAGCGCCCACCTGAGCGTGCATCAGACAGAGGCTTGGCCAAGCCCATGGGGCAGGCCAAGCAGCCAGGGGCCTCGCTGGAGTCCAGGCGCCCTGGTCCTGATGCACAGCTTCTGAGCACAGAGTCACCTCCAGCCCCCGTGCTGCCCAAGAAGGGGCAGCGTACAGCCATCTCCTACAGACTGGGTCCCGTGTCTGACCAGGTGCAGTGCACTTGCCCGTGGCCCTGAGTGATCAGGGCAAAACGGTAGAGAGCGGTCCAGGGCAGCCGCTGACGTAAGCCCCCGTGGCCCTCCCCGGCCCCCACGGCACAGTGCAGGTCTCCACTTGCCGCTTGGGCCGGGGTTCCTGTCTTGGCTAGCAGACACAAGCTCCATTTAGTTTCAACAAATAAACCTTTGAAGAGGATGGGCTGGGAGGCTGGGAGCCCTGCAGCATGAGTGACTCATTTGTGCCGAGAAGGAGATCAGGTTGATTTAACTGATTCGACTATCTGCATGCACTTCCTGGGGGCCGGGCAGGTGTTTAGCCCTCGCCTGTGGGCATGTGACTGAGTTTTCTGGGCAGAAAGGAGTCCGTGTCCCGGAGGAGAAAGGCTGGGGACGGAGACGGCCCTCGGGTGCCCGGGAGCACCGTGGTGGGGGACGAGGAGGATGGGCAGCCCGGTCTCCAGACAGCCGGCCGGCCCGCCTGCTAAGATGGTGTTTGTTCTTTCCCCACTGGCCCAGATGTGCCTGTGACCTCAGCGCCAGTCACGGCCTTCTTCCGCGGCTGTATGACACTGGAGGTCAACCAGAAGGCGCTGGACCTGGACGAGGCCGCCTACAAGCACAGTGACATCACGTCACACTCCTGCCCCCCGGTCGAGCAGGCCACCCCCTAGGCCAGCAGGAGGAGGGAAGACCTGCCACCCCCACCCGCCTGCGAGGCCAGCTCTGGACACTGCGCCCTCCCCGCCCCCCAGGCTGAGTTTCCTCCGAGACTGTTCTTTGCCTTGTAACATATGTGTATATAGTTGAGGGACTGATGTTAGCCACCCAAAGCCACAGCCCTGACGCCAGCGCGTCCAGCGCGTGGAGGCCAGGGGCTGCCACATGCCAGAGCAGACCCAGGAAAATAATTCTGTTATTTTTATTACCGAATGCTTCTTTCTGGCTTAAAAATATGGAAAAATAAAATATTTACAGAACCCTTTTTAACTGTGCCACAGGCTCTGCTCCTTGCTCGTTAGTGCCCAGCAGGTGGTGTCAGCAGCTCGAGGTCTTGAGTACCCGCCTCAGCTCCAGGCACCCTCCCCTGCACCCCTACCTGGCTCCTGGCTCTGGGAGCCGCTGCCCTGCTCTCTGTGCTGTGGACTCAGGCGGAGGCAGGTCCCCGGTCGCCCCTCCTGGCACAAGGCAGGTCAGCACCTGCTTCTTTCTCCCTGGACGAACCCATCTCGGTCTCCCATTTTCTCTGTATAAAACGGAGATCCCTGTTTCCTCTCTTCTGAGAGGCACATCTGCCTGGAGCCCCTGGAATCAGCACACGCAGGTCCACCTGCGGCTCTGTGAGACAGGGCGGGCCAGACGAGCCTCTGGCCCCAGGAAGACCACCATATGGAAATGCATGTGGAGCCCCGGGGCCACCAGCACCCACAGAGGTCACGGAGGCCTGGGCTGGCGGTGGGGGAGACTAGTGTCGAGGTTGGAGCTCCAGCAGGACAGGTCCGTCTGCCTGATGCGATTGCCACAGGATGGCTGACGGTCTCCACCGCGGCGGGCGTCCGTGCACAATGCGCCAGACAAGTTTCCAGCATCCACTGGGGATTGTGCTCGAACACTGAATGGCTCTTCCAAGACTGAGATTCTCCTTTTTTAGATACCAAACCCCAGAGAATATTCTGGGGCTGTGGGACAGGTGTGGGCTGTGTTTCCTTTCAGATGTTACTCTGCAGATGGCGCAAAGTGTCCCATAGCCCTGTCATTTCTCAGGACGGTGTGATCTCTGCGAGCTGCATCAGCCCAGCATGGAGCAGTCTGGATTTCGATGCCTGACAGCTGAGCGTGAGTCTAGAAGTCACAACCTGACCCAGGGAGGAGCATGTGCAGAAGGAAGGACAGAAGCCTGAGGAGTGCACCCCCAGCTAAGGAATGAGCACACCGGAATCAAAGCGGGCCATGCAGCACGGAGGAGGAGAGACTCCCTTCCAGGTTTCTAGAAAGCAGGGTATGGCTTCGAGGACTGCAAGGGGCCCTGCCTGGCTGGATTGGCAAGTGGAATGGCCCCAAATGGGCCCCAGTGGGAGCAGGTGAGCATCCCTCCTCAGTCGTGGCGGGCCTGCCCTTGAAGGGGTCTCCAGGATCCTGGAGGAGCTGGCCACCACAGACACCCACCAGGAGGGACCCCTCCCAGGGCCTGCTCGCCTTGGAGATGACAGCAGGAGGTTGCAGATGCTGTGGCAAGGACGTGGGAAGGCCCACAGGCTCTGGTGGTCCCGGCCACTGAGGCTGACCGGGGGTCCCTGGCACATTCGCTGTCCTCGGCACTCCCAGGCCCGCCCACAGCCGCCTGTGTGTCCGGACACCACCCCACCACCACCTGAGTCCTTTCTGTTGTCTTCCTAAACGTCTGGCGGCATCTTGGTAGAAGTTTTGTTGACTCAGGACTGGAAAAAACTAGTCTAAGAGGTTCTTCAGGTGGTTTTCCACACTGGTGCACGAGAAACCAGAGATGCAGGGAAGCCGTGTCCTTGGAGCTGTGGTCCTGCTCTGAGCAACTATGCCCTCATGAAACATCCATCTCCAGCCAAGGTCCTGCTGGAAGGGCCTCTACCCATGGCAGTGTGGGCTTCCCACTCTCAGTCTGCAGCCAGGGCAGATGTACGTTCTGCTTGTACCACCAGGGGACCCCAAACCCAGGCCCCCTCTGCTGGCTCTGGGATGCGCAGGCAGCTGGGTTGGAGCTGCAGGACACAGCCTCATCTGTCCATGAGGGGAGCGAAAGCTCAGTTCCTGGGGGCTTTGGTGTTGACCAGGAGGACCAAGGTTTGGACGCTGTCTGCCCAATAAGCAGGAAGCTTCACCTCTACCCAGAGAGCCTCCAGCACCAGCTGAGCACAGCGCTAAGAAGTGTGGGGAGTGAGGTCTGCCTGTGGCCTCCAGGAGAGCACCATGCCACCCACCAGCTGGCCTCACAAACATCAGGAGCCCAAAGCAGCTTTAGGGCCTGATCCATTTCTCAGCTTGTCACTGCACCATTCCCCATGGTGGCGTCTGGTTTCCCTCACTGTGGAGGCAGCTCTGGAATGTTCCTGTGGAATGTTCCCCTGGCCAGCACCAATCTCTCGAGAAGCCAGGACGGTCAGAGCCGAGAGCACACACACTGAACTCCAGGACCCCGTGGACACACAACAGAGGCCATGGCTCAGGGGCTGTCTGACAACCATGGGCTCATCTTCCGTCCAGGAAAGCTAGGCACAAATGTGTTTCCTGCTGTGGTTTCCTTAGACTTCCACTGGGCACCAGGGGTTATTCTAACTACTGCCAAGAAAAAGCATATAGCCCGAAAAGAGCTGAATACAGCAGTACATTCCCCAGCGGTGCTAAGCAGGTTGACACCCTTTCCACTGTCCAACCAGGCAGGGCTGGCTGTAGAGGACTCTGTGACAGATGGTCCATCCCGTCTGACTGTGCGCCCTGGAGATGGGGCCGGGGTGATCCTGACTGTGTGCCCTGGAGATGGGACTGCGGTGATCCTGACTGTGCGCCATGGAGATGGGGCCGGGGTGATCCTGACTGTGCGCCATGGAGATGGGACTGCGGTGATCCTGACTGTGTGCCATGGAGATGGGGCCGGGGTGATCCTGACTGTGCGCCATGGAGATGGGACTGCGGTGATCCTGACTGTGCGCCATGGAGATGGGGCCGGGGTGATCCTGACTGTGCGCCACGGAGGTGGGGCCGGGGTGATCCTGACTGTGCGCCATGGAGATGGGGCCGGGGTGATCCTGACTGTGCGCCATGGAGATGGGGCCGGGGTGATCCTGACTGTGCGCCCTGGAGATGGGGCTGGGGTGATCCTGACTGTGCGCCATGGAGGTGGGGCCGGGGTGATCCTGACTGTGCGCCATGGAGATGGGGCTGGGGTGATCCTGACTGTGCGCCATGGAGATGGGACTGCGGTGATCCTGACTGTGTGCCATGGAGATGGGACTGCGGTGATCCTGACTGTGCGCCATGGAGATGGGGCCGGGGTGATCCTGACTGTGCGCCATGGAGGTGGGGCCGGGGTGATCCTGACTGTGCGCCATGGAGGTGGGGCTGGGGTGATCCTGACTGTGGGCCCTGGAGGTGGGGCTGGGGTGATCCTGACTGTGCGCCATGGAGGTGGGGCCGGGGTGATCCTGACTGTTCACTGTGTTGGAAGAGCTGGATGAACCTGATTCTGCCTCATGGAGGAGGCCAGTAGACCATTTGATTTAGCGCTATGGAGATGGAGTGGGGAACAGAGTATGCTGTGTGACAGATTTATGGTCTAATTTGCTTTTTTGCTTCTCAAGAAAAGAGCCACAATAATTTTGTTTGTGTTCTTTGTGTTTGTTTTTAGGATAGTATTGATAGAGAATACGTGTTTTATGAAAAGGGCTCCTCTGGGTCATTTAGTAGCATCCCTGCCATCTAGGAACTAGCGCCGGCAGTACCCGGACCTCAACCCCAGCAGGATTCACAACAATCAAAAATGTCTCCAGACATTGCCAAATGTCCCCTAGGTTCAAAACCATCCCTGTTGAATGCCACTGCATTAAAGATAAGGGATATTTGACCTAACCTCACATGGCATAAGGTAGAGTATATATTTAAATCTAAAAGTAGTCTATAAAACACTAGAAGATCATGTGAAACTACAGCTGTGGGCCTGTGGATCCACCCTTCTTTCTATTAGTAAAGCTCATTGGCTCACAGTCACACCCATTACTGTTCTATGTCTACACCTGGATTGGTCCACAATGTCAGAGTTGAGTAGTTGCTATGCACTTACTGGCCCTCTCAACCAACAATACTCACTATCTGGCCCTTTACACACAGACTTTGCTGACCCTTGTGACAGGAGAGTGTTACCATAGGGGCGCCTGGGTGGCTCAGTTGTTGAGCGTCTGCCTTCGGCTTAGGTCATGGTCCCAGGGTCCTGGGATCGAGCCCCGCATCGGGCTCCCTGCCCAGCGGGAGGCCTGCTTCTCCCTCTCCCACTCCCCCTGCTTGTGTTCCCTCTCTCGCTGTGTCTCTCTCTGTCAAATAAATAAAATCGAGTCCCGCATCGGGCTCTCCACTCCGCGGGGAGCCTGCTTCTCCCTCTCCCACCCTCCCTGCTTGTGTTCCTGCTCTGGCTATCTCTCTCTCTATCAAATAAATAAATAAAATCTTAAAAAAAAAAAAAAAGGAAGAGTGTTATCATGACCTAAGGTAGAGAACTATTTCTTAAATAAAACACAAAGTGCTGGGTGCCTGGGTGGCTCAGTCGTTAAGCATCTGCCTTCAGCTCAGGTCATGATCCCAGGGTCTTGGGATCGAGCCCCACATCGGGCTCCCTGCTCAGCAGGAAGCCTGCTTCTCCCTCTCCCCCTGCTTGTGTTCCCTCTCTTGCTGTCTCTGTTTCTATCAAATAAATAAATAAAATCTTTAAAAAAAAAAACAACAAAACACAAAGTGCTCTGATGATGAAGGAAAAAATTTAAAAATTGAGTGACATTAAAATCAAGAACTTCAAGAACAGAGTTAGAAGACTGACCATATCCGACTCCAAGACCTACTGCAAAGCTACCACAATCAATACAGACTGGTATTGCCAAAAGAATGGACAGGTCAGTGGAGCAAACAGAGAGAGCCCAGAAACAGACCCACGTAA